GTGGCAAACTAGTCAGTATGGCTCCAAAGTATACTTCACTAAACTACTTTTATAGAAGGTAATAAGCAACACTATTGTACAAACATTCTAATGAATGGTCTTTTATTTCTGTTCAATAGTTTATCTGGTGTGGAATTACTACAGAACCATATGTGTATATTTTATATTGCTAAATTGCTCTGCAAAAAGGCAGTAACAGTTCACATTTGCACTAGCCGTGTATGAGAGTATTATTTCCTCTAGCAGTATTATTTTTAAAAATGTATGTTTATTATTTCTTTTCTTTTTTTTCAATCTGGTGGGTGAGAAGTGATATTTCATTGTTAAGTCTGTATACTTGTTGACAGTAGTGAGGTTGAACATCATATGTTTGTCAATCATTTGGATATGCTCTACTATAAACTGTTGTATTAATTAGGGCTCTCCAGAGAAACAAAATGTATTAGGGCTCCCCAGAGAAACAAAACCTGTGTGTGTATGTAATTTATTTTTATTTATTTAAAAAAATTGGCTCACATGTTTATGTTTATGGAGACTGGCAAGTCCAAAATCTGCAGGGTAGGCTGTCAGGTTGGAGACTCAAAGACGAGACAATACTACAATCCAAGTCCAAGGGACTTCTGCTGCAGAATTCTTCTTTCTCAGGAGAGGTCAATGTGTTTTCTCTATTCAGGTCTTCAACTGATTGGATGAGGACCACCCACAGTATAGAGGACAATCTGCCTTACTCAAAGTTCACTGATTTAAATGTTAATCTCATCTAAAAGTACTCTCACAGAAACATCCATAATATTGTAGGACCAAATATTGGGACAACATTACCCAGTCAAGTTTACACTTACAATTAACCATCATAAATATCTACTAATATATTTTCCGTTTTTCTTTTTTTTCCCTTTTTTTTGAGATGGAGTCTTGCTCTGTCACCCAGGCTGGAATGTAGTGGCATGATCTCGGCTCACTGAAACCTCTACCTCTTGGATTCAAGCGATTCTCCTGCCTCAGCCTCCTTAGTAGCTGGGACTACAGGTATGTGCCATCATGCCCCGCTAATTTTTTGTATTTTTAGTGGAGATGGGGTTTCACCACGTTAGGCAGAATGGCCTCAATCTCCTGACCTCGTGATCCGCCTGCCTTGGCCTCCCAAAGTGCT